TATATATATGTATATGTATATATATACATACATATATGTATATATATATGTATATATACATTTACGGATGTGTTAATTGTGTATTTTTGTAAATGTTTGTTTATTTTTGTTGCTTAGTTTTGTTTAAGAATTCGAAATGTTGTTTTTGTAATATTTGTGTGTAATAATTACTTTTGCCTATATCTGATCCTTTGACAAAAGCGAAAAATTCAATTATTGCGGTTTCTTTATCTTTTACATACATACATTTTCTATTTATCATAATTTAAATTTGGAACAAAAAAAAAATTAATATACAGAGTATAATTTTTATATTTAAAACAAGGTCCCGCGACGTTAAAAATAGTTTTCCAAAATTGGAAACTATGTAGGTTCTTCTTTTTATTCCGAATCTTTTGGTCAACCTTTTACCCAATGACCGTAGTGCAGTGTCCCGTTGACATACTCACCCTTAAAAGCATACCATACTTGATTAGCGATCACTTTACCTCTTCAAAATGTGCAAAAATACATTTCATCAGACCGTACGGTGCACGTAAATTTTCGATTATCTCGAAATTTCAAATTGATTTTTCCCATATCTACCAAGTCTATACGTACGCTTACATATTTATTTGTGTTCTTCTTTTCCGGTCATTTGTCGGTCCATCTGTCCGTCAATTTTTAAGGTTTCCAGCCAAAATTTGACACATACTAATTTTTTTTTTTTTTTTTTTTTTTTTGTTAAGTGGTTACAACTCCCTTTCATTTGCATTATCGCAAATGTCAAGCGAAATTGAAAAGAAACCAAAAAAAAAAAAAAACAAATCGTAAAATGTAAAACGTTGAAAACGCGGTTACCACTTGGCATCATCTTATAACAGGATGTTTCCGAAAGAGTATTATTTGTGAATAGCATTCATTCTAAGGATAAAAAATAATCTCGTATCGGTCGAAATTAACGAAAAGATATGCAATTGCGAACAGTTTTTCACATTTGATGAATGATTGAATGGATCAAGCAACCGATCACGGAGCCTCGCCATTGGTTTTATAAAATTAAAAGAAATATTAAGATATGATCGTATGGCACAAATTAGCTTTAAAAAGACTTTTTTATCTAAATGATTTTTCGTCTATTTTTTCCTCTTCTCATGTTAGGCATCTATTTAAGATACTGTGATTTTTCAAAAAAATATGAACCCGGAAAAGTGAACAATATTGTCGAGTGAAAACTAGTGCACAGTCTAGTAAACAGTCAAATAACAAATTATTTTAAAAAAAATAATAATAACAATTAACCAAAATAAAACAGTGATGAATTATTTATTTGTCATAGCTTGGGCCAAATTAAACGACTGATGAAAGCTACAACTTTCACGTATCACTTTGCAAGAAAGACTTAGCAATGCGAACTATAATCATATGTTGATTAAAACTTTACGGCGAGATATAAGGACTCTACAAATATGAGACCTGTTAATGCACAAGTTCTGTTAGAATCAATATTGAATTGCTCTTGGATTTTAAATTAGGTCAGCTATGTCCGTCAAAATGTCAAAAAATTCATATAAACCGAAATTTCTTGCTATTCCGAACAATTGAGAAGATTTTTGTAAGCGTTCTATTTACTTGTCGCTACTATTTATCTACACTCTGCCAGTGCTGTAAGTTATATTTAATTTCCCCGAAAGCCCTAAATATGTAAATAATTTTGTTCGATCGAATGCCAAGAAATACTTTTTTATTTTTACACCAATTGCATCACTTGCGCGAATCTATTAAGCGCCTACCTTTTACTATACCGATAGTTTCAAAATTTCTTTCTGAATTTTTTTTGAATTCTTTTTGGTTTAAATTTGTCTGACTATCCGTTTGTCCGTCCGTTTGTCTTATATCTGTCCATGTGTTTCTATATAGGTCGCTACAGGGTGCTTTGAGCGTGTAACGGCGCACGCCACCAAATATGGATTGAATCGGACTGTTTTTCAGCCCCACTCTACATAGAACTTCGCATTTTGCAAATATCATTTTAAGAAAAAAAATTTGTAATTTTTAAATCTTCTCGACAAACATGGCTATGGAATACTAACTTAATATAAATAAATATTGATCAGATGGACCAAATCTTTCGAATTCCTTTACTCTTCGTTCCTATTCGTTCTAAGACTTTATGTGCAAAAAATTAAAATTAACAATTAACTGCGCTTAGATCGGTCAGATGTATTTTTAAGACTTCACTCCAAACAAGGATTGTCATAACAAGTATACCATTTCTATGAGAAGTCAGATATAATTTTTTGGAGTTTTTCATAAAAGTAAATGCAGGTTTGTATTGGGCGAAAAGATCTTGAGCATTTAATCGAACGATCGACTTTATGTTTTCACCTGCAATGTTTTTACCTTGCAATATACTGATTTAGGGTTGTGTTGGTATTAAGACTTCAATCAAAGTCGAATATGAAGTTCTTATATATATTTCTTTTTCTTTTTTTTTTTTCTTTTTTTGGTAAAATAATACTTGTTTCATTTGATATATCTGTATATTTAATGAAAAAATTCATATAAAAAATATTTTGGATTTTGTTTTAAAATAAAAATTATACTCTTTATATATTATTATCCGGAAAAGAACAATAATTTAATTTTATACAACTTCAACCTTTAATCTTCATGTCTAACAACATATACCTATACACGCACCACTGCCAAATACCAATCGACCGAGTACTGAGAAAGGAAATAAAAAGAAAAAAGAGAAAAATTTTTTTGTTTTTTTTTTTTTTTTGTAATTTTTATAATTTTTATTTAATGCCAACGTGTTGTTAATTCATCATGTTTCTTATGCTTTATAAAAAGTTCTTTTCTGTTATTATTATGAATATTATTATTTTATAACTAACTACTGGTAATTTTTTTGGTAGATTTACTAAAGAAAAATGTTTGTAAATGAAACTTTCTTGTAAAGAGAAAAGAAAGGAAAAGTAAACAACTGCCCAACACTGCCCAAAACACTCAACGTGTAATTTACTACTACTACTACTATATATATGCAATAAAAAGATATCAAATATAAAATTAATAAATAAAAAAGAAATACTTACACAGAAATACGTTCACCTGCGGCCACGCAGCATACACACATACATAAAATCTCTTAAGTGCAATCTTTTAACAGAATTTTAAATTCTTAAGTAATTTCGAAGCCTTTTACAAAAAATTTATTTGTTTTCTTTGTGCTTTTTCGCTAAGTATATTAAATATACCAAGAAAATGTTGATTGTTTTTAGTAATTTGTAACTTTTTTATTTTTATTTTAATTTTTATTTTTTTTTTTTTATATATTTTTGTGCATATTTTCAATATAACCTTTTTTCTTTTATTTTACTTTTTTTTATTATTATTTTTTTTTTCTTTTTTGTTTTTCATCTTTGAATGTAATATTAAAAATTTTAAAAGAAACGTTTATATATTTTTAGTTGTGTAATATTAAAAAAGAAGAGAGAATACTTTATATATATTATTTAAAAACAACAAAAAAAAAACAAAAAAAAAATAAATTTATTTTTATTTTCCATTACATACATTTCAGTTGAAGTTTTATTTTGATCGCTTATGTGAACTCAAATTTTAACACATAACACAACAAAAGATTTTGCGATATCGTTCTATGCGTATTTGCGTAGCCTTCTCTCCCCCTTTCACTCACACTCGTTCTCTCTTTCCCAATTTCTCTTACTACGCGCTGTTGCCTAATAAACGGTTATCTGGCAATTCGCTTTAAGGACGAAAATTGAAAACACGTTATCTGACCAATAATAATAATTCTATATATTTGAGATACTTGTGTTAAATACAAAAACGTATTAGCGAATGAAAATACGAAGATTTTTATTAAACTAATCATCAGAGAGTGGAAGCGTATTTATTGGATCGTTTAAAAGATATCCAACTTTAAATAGATTAAAGTTTTTGTTCTTTTATGCATACTTAACTCAAATTCAATTCTCTTACTCTTATATATAGTAATACCTGGATTAGGTAGATCCGTCTCTATTATTTATCTCGATATAATTTACAATGCTTAGCATATTTTTAGGATGCTGTACAACCGTGATTCGCTTCAAAGTGAATATTCAATTGTTTATTTGTCATATTTGCATTAGTTATGTGATTGGGTTAATAATATGCAGGAATGAGCATTAGTGACCCAATATAGAGAATAAACATTTTTCATGAACGAAGAAACTCTATTCTAAAATTCTAAATATCTTAAAGTTCAGCTGATTTGTATAGATCTTTATCGTGGACATGACCAAAACATTGTATTAAAACAAATTTGAGACATTCAATGTTCGTAGTGGCTTTAGAATGAACGCTGGGCCGCAACCAATACAATCTAAACAAAATTGTTATTCAATTGCATTTATACACAATTAATGTTTATATTTATATATATATATATACATATATATATATGCTCGTATTTGCATAGGTAAATACCTATTGGAAGGTTCATACTAGATGCTCATTCAAATTGTCCCTTCTTCGAATCGTCATCTTCTTCATATCGTCAATAATGTAAAAAATTAGAAAAATACTGATTAGTAGATGGACAATGTTCTGCAGAAAACGAACATTAACTAGTTTTAATCAAAATTCGCATATATGTTATGCTAAGAATACAAAAATTTCATTATAAAGCTATATAAGCCTCGAAATCCAAATAAAATATGTAAGCAGTAAATTTTTGTCGATCTGCCTGCTATTGGAATTTCTACGATCGCAAAAATTAAAGTAGGAAGACAAATTCCTATAGAGTGTCTGTAAAAATGAATATGTCCAGATCACAAAATTTATTTTTAGTAGCAACTCAAATACTAAAATAAATTGCATTCATTGTCGATTTTCTGAACATTGGTATCCGAAGTAACAAAAAAAGAAAAAAAAAACACTAATTACTTATATATTTATTAGCATTTTTGATGATAACGATGACGACAATTTCACTTTTCGCGCTTGTACACAGCCATGTATGTTAATGTGTATGTGATTTTCAAGAACACTATGCGCATTCAATATCCTTCTTATATCTTTTATTCTAAAACTTTACACTATATTGGTTGGTAAACGAAAGATTCGTGTTGATCAAGCACGGTTGTCAATTTCGAATCTTCTATTTTTACTTTAATGAACATTGATTTACGTGTCAGTCAATCAAAAGTAAGTCACCGAAATTGCCTGATAATTATATATTGTGGATTGTTTAATATTAGTTTCTTTTTATATATATATGCGTCTTCTTTTCTTATCTAAGTCGGTTCGATAAATTGTTTAAACAATTTTCGTATTCTTGTTCAAATTTTCCATTAAAACATAGTTGGTTACCGAATAAAACCTATTTGCTATGACCTTAAAGTGCTTCCCTTGGCCAGCGCAGATGTCGAACATTTAACACAAGCCTCACAATACTTTTTTATATCATAACATACTATATACATAAATGAATATTTGGATATAGATAACTGTTTTTAATATCTCACATCAGAAATAATAAATAAATAAATATATATATATATATATAATATATAATATATATATAAAATATATAATATATATATAAAATATATAATATATATATAGAGTATATAATATATATATATATATATATATATATTATAAATAAGATTTTCCATGGAACATAAAATAAAAAACAAGAACAAGAAAGCAAGAAAATAAAAAAAAATACGCTCAGTATTGAGGTTTCTACGGCAAATAAATTCTATATAAAGAAAAAAGTTAAGTTTGTTTTAAAATTTTGTATTATTAACGTAATTTATTGTTAAACATGAAATTAAAAAAAAAAACACCTTGTAAAAAAAGAAAAAAAAATTAAAAAAGAAAAAATTTCAAATGTACAACCTTTACCGCAGAAAATTGAAGTACAACGAAGAAGGAGAAGTAAAATCCCACAAAAACTCACAAAAAAAACATAAATAAATAAAAGCAAAATAATAATAATAATAATAAATAAGATATCAAAAAGAACACTGATGTCACGAGTATAAGTAATCAAATGTAACACATAGAAATCGCTTTAGTATAAGCAATACATTTAAAACCTCATCTCCGATGACACACATGCATTGGAGGAGTGTGAAACCTTATGATAAACCTTAAATACCTAAAAAGAAAACCTCATAAAAATAATTACTATTCCCTCTTTTTTTTTATTTATTTATTTTGTTTTTTTTTTTTTTTTTGTTAGTCTCCTCTTCTTTCGTTTCTATGAATCTGTCAATTATTTGTCGTGAAAATGTTTTGAGGAGAAACGAAACGAAACGAAATTATTGCAAAACCGATATAATTAAGTGAAAAAAAAATTAAAGTAAATAAAAACAAATTTCTTAATAACCAATAATAAACAAATCAACAAAAACACAACATTTGGACCTCATAATTATAAAATAATAAAGAAAAAACAAAAATATGAAAAAAAACCCTTATCAGATAAATGAAAAGATTATTACCAAAGTTATACACGTACACGCATACATGTAGAAAATATTTACATATATTGTAATTGTAAACGTATATTGAAAGATCATATAATTATGTAAATAAAAAAAGAAAGATTTATGACTTATCAAATGGTACTGATAATAATAATAATAATAATAATAATAATACCAAGATAATAAATTCGGCTTAGATCGAATCCGTTAATCCCCCCACCGCTTAATTCGCCTTTGTTTTCTTCTGATAAATGCAATTAAAGTTATTTTTTAAATGCATGCTTTTCTCATACCCTCACACCCTAATGTGCGCGATATATATAGGCATAGAATAGGTGATGAGTACATTTAACAGTTACATAAGCAACAATAAGCCATAAAAATTGCTTAAATAATATGGAAAATTTTCCCCAAAATAGCGCGAAGCTATGTGTAATTGACAACGCACCGACATGGCGATGAAAATTTTCATATTACTGGATATCGATTAAGTTTTCAAAACTACTTAACCGCATCGGATATGACTCCACTATTAAATAATAGCCCTTTAACAATATCTAACTATTTAAAATAAATCATAAGAATTCTTAATTTAAAGAGATCCTTTATGGATCTGACAGATATTTTTTTTGATCAATAATAAGTATTAATACCAGAGTTTATAAAGATTACGATATTTATTCTTATGATAGATTTATTAGGCATTTTGTGGTGGGTGGGTGAAGCAATAAAAACAATAATAAGAAACAAGCGTTAAAACAATATATTAAAGGTAGACATCACAATTAATTTTCCTTCCATACCTTAAGTAGTCAACTCGCAACACACATGACACGAGAATATGGTTTCACAGAAAACTCTTTTACCATCAATAAGAAAAACGGACAACCTCACGTTAGATACGATGTGCATATGAATAAATATATTTCCTTTCTCTTATTTTTTACATGCATACATGCAAACATATAAAAATGAATAAACAAATAGTTAAAGCAAATGAATTTTAGCAAATATCTATAGACAAATAAAAAATGGAATAAAACTCTTGTTATTATTAAAATCACTCTCTCACACATAGCTACACACTTATCCATGATATGAAATTAGAGAAACAGTTTAAAAAAAAAAAAAAATTAAATTCATTTAAACGTGTTTTACTCTTCAATTTTAATATTTATTAATTAGTCTACAATTTAAAATAAGCGAAAAAAAGACGGTGTGAAAAAGATGAACATTTTAGCTAAAATTTTTTGTATGTTTTATTCTCCAACAAATGAATATAAACAATATTTTATAAAATTACAATTCGCATTTGTTGACTCTTATTATTTTGATCTATTGCAAGCACTTAGGTTGTTCATAATTAATTAATCAATCAGCAGCTACTAAATGGTTTTCATGTTTAATGGTAACATTATTACAAATATTTTTGATAATCTGATTCCTGCTGGTCTTGGTAATGCTGTTATTAACTTTTAATGAATTTCCCGATGCGTTATTAACAACAATAGGCTTGTTTTTAATATTGGTAAGGATTTCTTCTTTAACTTCAATTTCCTCGTCTTCAGTTTCAGATTCATATTTTTTTTGTATATATTGTTTTTGCTGTGGTATAGTCAAATGTAAAACGCATGTAGGATCATCAAATATATTTGGTATTGGTTCTTGACATACAACAGCCGATTTCTCTACTTCGCAAGCTTTGAAAAGAATTTGCTTCTTATCCTCCAATACATGTTTACGACAATATTTGCAGCAGGGCAAAGAACGATCACCGCATTTAACGCCACCTTCGGAGTATATACATTTGATAAAGCCGGTAGTTTTAGGGGCATAACCATCACCCGATCGATTTCGTTTCTCTTTAAATTTTTTATATAAAACCGCTTCTACCCCGTGGCGACGATGATACGAATTTAAAGCCTTCAATTTTTCATATAAGATTCTTTCTCTTCGAGTTTCTCTGACTTGTTCGTGTATGCTGCATAAATGTTCTCGTTCTCGATGCATAGCAGCTAAGTAACGACGTCTTTTCTCACGTAAAATATGATGCAATCGATTAATTTGATCAATATAGAGACCTTGAAGCTTAGTTAGCTTAGCTTCTGAAATGCGTAATGCTTCCTGCCGTGTATAAATGCCAGCATGTTTAAGAATATCCTCCTCCTCAGAGTCTATGCTTTCATTGTCCGATTCATTGCATTCAGGACCGCGGGAGGTATTATTCATACAAATTACCTCTTCATCCGACGTAGTATCCGAAGCATAATCCAATATACGACGGCGTTTACGCATCGTGGTGGTGATAACGTTCAAAGCTTTGACATGTTGATGGCTAACTGAAATTTACGGATCATTTATAATAGCAACAATCATCAAAGAAAGAAAAGGACATTATAGGTCGGATTAATGCCGAATAGCCTGATATCCAAACACATTCCCGGCTTTCTTATCTTTTAGCGAAAATCATTCAATATTATTATTATTATTTTAATTTTAGACTAATGAAATGAATTCTTAGACTAAAAAAAGACATTGAGCACTAGCAACACAGGCTATCGGCTCTAATTTAAATAAATGGATATTAGATAGTGAGCTTAGTAGTATTAAAAAAGTAATATATTGAATTGATATTCTGTTCTGAAGCTGATTGTAGAATGTTCAAAGGGTTAATCGTTCAAAATGCAATACTTCTAGCCTCATTCAATATTAAAAAACCTATATATTATAAAGGGTGTGAAGATAAATTCGAATTTAACTAGTAAAGACACCTACCATTTCTGTTAACATACGAGTTTGGCAACTCTGCGCGTGTCTTGTAGTCGCGTTTTTATTCTGTCAACAAATATATCAATTTTTTTAGTTGTATTTCTTAACTTTTTGCTTTATTCGTGTTTAAATTTAAAAATTCTCTAAAAGAATAAAGTGTGAATTTATTGTATATGAATTTATTAACCATTTATGTGAAAAAATCATTTTGGTTTATTGTAAGCAACAATTGAGCTCTTGGTAAAAGTCTCTCTTTTTGCCTTTTAATCTGTGTTTACAGTTTCCGTTAGTTTTCGCTCTATATTTACAGTGGGCAGGGAAGTGAGAAATTTGCTTTAATTTTCCTGAAAATTTGTGCCGTGGAAAAATTATTTTTTTTTTGTTTTTCTTTTTCGTTTTTTTTTCCTTCTTAAGCTACTTTTTTTGTTTTCAATGGACATGGATTGTTTATTTACTCCATGTCGTGCGAAAACTGGCCCTGAATCTGAACGATTCATTTCTTGCTGGTTGTGTGATCGTTTTGGACATGCAAAGTGTGCTGGTATTACCGGCCGTGCTGCTGATGCAGTCCTTGACCCTTCTAAAGGTTTACGATGGTCATGTCCTGACTGTAGAAAGCGGGATATTGATTTCTACAAGCTCTTCACGGAGACGAGAAATTGTTTCTCAGATTTGAGCAAAAATCTCGGCTCTTTGTGGGAGAAGTTTGAATTAATCAAGACTAGGTTTGATGAATGTCGGTATATTGCGCAGTCATCTTCCTCTTCAGCTAACATAGTCTCAACGCGTAGCGTAGCGTGTGGTTCGTCACCTCCTAAGTCCGTTTCGTTCGTGCAAGTTAGCGATTCCCTAAAGGCTACAAATAATGTTAGTGTTTCTGCTACGGCTGAGTCGGTTGGTAACATAGATGTTACAAATAGTCCGAGAAGTCCTTCTGGCTTGAGCTATGCTGAAGTGGCAAGGGTATCTCCTCCCATAGATGTCACTCAATCTTCTCAGGCGTCATTGCCCAAAACTAATAAGGGTAACAGTAAATCGTCCTCTCCTCCTCGCTGTTCGGGTGTAAATGCTGGTCGCCAAACTGAGCAAGCTGCTCGTGCAAGTGTGGTTACCCCCTCTATATTTTCCCCAACTCATAACTCCCCATCCGTTAACCCTGCTGCTCCCAGTACTGATGACATATGCTTGAAGGCAGTTCCTCCTAGAAAGGCCATATTTGTGTCAAGACTGGCACCAGATACATCTGTTGAAAACATAAGGGGTTATCTGGCTGCGAAAGCCCCTTCTGTCAATTTAAAGCGAGTTAGTATTTTCAAACTGGGTCCTTCTCAAGCTAGAGCTATCTCATCTTTTAAAATTCTAGTTCCGACCGAAAATATGGATTTGATTTTAAATAAAACTTTGTGGCCGGTTGGATCATTAATTAAGGAATTTATCCCTCGGGACCGACCCCGTAATGCGAATGCATTAGCTCTTTCCCCTTCAAAAAACTAAATACTTCTTCAGCCTCATTTTCTCTCATTTATCAAAATGTTAGGGGCCTAAACTCAAAAATTCGTTCTACCTTCCTAAATTCAGTGAGTACGGAGTTTTCCTGTCTGGTCTTCACTGAAACATGGCTGAAGCCAGTTCTACATTCGTCGGAACTTTTCCATAATTCGTTTCAAGTTTTCAGAAACGATCGTTTGTATCGCAATGGTGGTGGTGTTTTAATTGCTATTTCTACGGCACTCCCCACCTATTCGTTTGAATTTCCAACTACTCCCGATGTTGAATTTATCGCCATTCGAGTGAAATTTCCTAACAAACACTTATATGTGACCTGCTCCTATATTCCCCCAAATTCGGATATCTCTGTATATAAGAAACAGGCCGCCCTCATTTGTGAAGTGGCCAAGCAATCTAAATCTACCGATATAGTTCTTGCGTTGGGTGACTTCAACTTGCCTCAAGTCAATTGGTTTTACAGTGATAGTTCTGGCTGTTTGATTCCTTCCTCAACATCTGATAAAGCCGTTGTGTTCTTCAATGAATTATTTGATAATAATTTAGTTCAATACAATGGTACCCCTAATTGTAATGGGAGATTTCTTGATCTCTGCTTTGCAAATTTTCCTGAGGTTTGCGTTAATCGTTGTCTTCCGTTTAGTTTACCTGAGGATCCATATCATCCAGCATTGGGTGTTTCCTTTCATTACAAGTATGTTGGTTCGTTGAACCTCTATAACGTTCCAAATTCAAATTTTTCATATCAACGTTATGATTTCCATAAAATCAATGTTTCCTTACTAAAATCTCATCTTTCTCATTTTGTGCTCGATTTCTTAGAGGGAAGCATTGATAGCTTACTGTCGTCGTTCTACAATGTATTAAATCAAGCTATTTCTGCATCCGTTCCGATCAAGCAGTCCCGTCCTCGAAGTAAGAATTCCCCGTGGTTTAATAAGACAATTAAATACTACAAGAATAGGAAAAACAAGTTGTTCAAAAAATTTTCGAAAAATGGTTCTTCTTTCGACTATTTCGCTTACTCTGTTGCAAGGCATAAATTTAATTCCCTCAACCGCCAATACTACTGCAGATACCTTCAGTTTGTTAAATCCTCCTTGTTTGCTAACCCTAAATACTTTTTTAAGTTCGTTAATTCCAAAAGAAAAATCTCCATAAACCCGTCGTTTGTGTCGTTTAATGGCTCCAAGTCCTCGGATGATTTTGAATCCTCAAATCTCTTTGCGGAATACTTCCGACAGAACTTTTCAACTGTCAATTTTGATTTATCGGAAAATTATCCATATTCGATTTCTAATTCGGTTTCAATTCCTAACTTTGTTATATCGGAAAATGACGTTTTTGAAGGATTGAACTCTCTGAAATATAATTGTTCGCCTGGACCCGATGGCATCCCCTCATGTGTACTTATATCTTGTGCTGGCGAGCTTTGTGATGTTATCTCAAAGATTTTTAATAAGTCTTTGAATTTAGGTGTTTTCCCTTTGTGTTGGAAGACTTCTTTCCTTATTCCTATTCACAAAAGTGGTAGTAGGCAACTTGTAGAGAACTACAGAGGCATCGCCAAGTTGAGTGTCTTACCTAAACTGTTCGAGCGAATTGTGGCTCAGCATATAGCCTTTTCCATGAAATTGATTATTTCTCCTTTCCAGCATGGTTTTCGAAAGGGAAGATCTACGGTGACCAATCTGTTGGAGTTTACTTCTCATGTTTTCAAGGCTTTTTCTAGTGGTTCTCGCACTGATGTCATTTACACTGACTTTAGCAAGGCGTTTGATATGGTTAATCATAGACTTCTTAGATTTAAAATCCAGACCTCTGGCTTTCCTCTCTTCTTAGTTGAATGGTTAAGCTCTTCTCTGTATGGTAGATCATTCAGGGTTTTGTTTAACCTCATTACCTCGGATGAATTTCCCGTGAGGTCTGGCGTACCTCAAGGTAGCCACTTGGGACCTATTTTATTTAATCTTTACATCAATGATTTGCCCTCCGTGATTAAATTCAGTAAGATTTTAATGTATGCTGATGATGTGAAACTGTTTACTTCTTTTTCCGTAGAATCGCAATCACATCATCTTCAAAGTGATTTGAACAATTTGGTTGCATGGTGCTCCCTCAATCTTCTGAAGCTAAATCTAAATAAATGTAAGAAGCTTTCTTTCTTAAGAAGGAAGTCGTTTAGTACCCAATACTTCATTGATTCGCACAGGTTGGAAGACGTCGATTCGTTCATTGATTTAGGCGTTCTATTCGATTATAGGTTACGTTTCAATTTGCATATTGAGTCCTCGTTAAGCAAAGCTAGGTCCGCTCTTGGTTTTATAAAGAGGTGGTCCAAAGAGCTTGATGATCCTTATATTACTAAAAGGCTTTACACGTGTTTGGTTAGACCTATTCTTGAGTATGCCTCTGTTGTGTGGTCTCCTTCATATAGATGCTACGTTGGTTCAATTGAATCTATACAAAAGCAATTCTTGCTGTTTGCACTTAGGAATTTGGGTTGGGACCCGATTTCCCCTCTTCCACCCTATGAAAATAGGTTGCTTCTGTTATCCTTACCGTCACTCGAGAAACGTAGATTTGTTCTTGGGGTTTCCTTCCTAATCAAATTAATAAATGGTGCAATTGATTCGCCCGCATTACTTCGTGAGATTTGCTTTAATGTCCCTAACCGCTTCTCTAGGTACTTTATGTTGATAAAGCTTAGTCAATGCAAATATAACTTTGAACTGTTTAACCCGCTCAGAGTTGTTTGCAAGAACCTAAATGATGTCTATCATCTATTCTCATTAACGGACTCTTTAAAGTCCATTAAAGCAATATTGCTCAACAAGCGCGATTTACCTATGTCGTACTTAAACTGATTTAACCTTAGATTTTGTCATTATGAGTCGAAAATTAACTTGTTAACAATTATCGGTTGCCAAGCTTATGCATGTTTGCGATGGCTTAGGGGTTCACTTGCAATTTGGTCCTGTATCGGTTGTGGGCGTGGCTCTATGCTAATTGTGTACATGCTTTTTTTTTTTTTTTTTTTTTTTTTTTTTTTTTTCTCCCTATT